TGGGGTAAGCCACGAGATATATATAAAGGGAAGTAACTCCTATGATAACAAAAGATCACCAATAAAGAAATGGATATGCATGTGATAGAAAGCAGATTTTTTTTAAAAGCTTATTACTTTTCCTGGTGGCCTGCACCTGATCCTTGTTACCTGTTGGCAGTACCTTTGTAATGCGAGTTGGCGTTCGTTTCGCTGTTCCTTGATGTAAAGGGTGTTGCTGAAATGTGGTCCGTTTGTACAAAACATTAACAATGGGAGTGAGTTGGTTGTTGTTGCCAGACATCGGAAGGAAATTCCATGCGTAAAGTTATAATGGCCGCCGTAATTCTGTACACATGCCCATCTGTACCAGCTCTCATCCCTTTGTATAGATATATACAGGTGGTTTTGTGTGGGTTATACATCTCTGGTGCAGCTACAAACCCTGTACCAGGGCAAATGTCATTTAGTACAAATATAGGTCAAAGGTCACAATCAGTGCTCTCAAACAGAATTGTCATTAAGTATACATATAGATCAAAGGTCACAATCACAAGTGCCTTGGAACATCTACAAAGACAAAATTTAAGGTCACGGTCATCGTCCTTTTATATAATTGCTTTCTTTATGTTGGGTACACTTAGGGTCGAAGTTCATAATATTAATCAAGGTCCTTTCATATAGGTCTCAGTGTTGGAAACCCCCAGGGTCAAAGGTCACAATCATAATAAGGTTTTATTGTCATGCCGTAGGGTATTCATACACGAGGGGAAGTTCACAATAACTTTAAGTGCACATCAAAGGTGACAAAAAAAGTCATAATCAGGCTTGTGTCGAAGTTGTTTTTTTTCGGTTTTGTAATCGAATATGCACATACAGTTCAAAGTTGTGTACATACAAATATTTATTATTGAAAGGCAAAAAGTCAAAATCTAGGTTATTAGCTCACCTGGCCCGAAGGGCGTCCGTCGTCCGTAGTCAATCGTCCGTCCATCAACTTTTTCTTTTGAACGACTTCTTCTGAAGAACTGTAGGACCTAGGGTCATGATATTTTGCCAGTAGGTACCTGGGATGGAGTGCTATTAAGTTTTCTCATTAAAATGACCTTGACCTACTTTCAAGGTTACAGCGGTCAAATATGTGAAAATTTTCAAACAACAATATCTTAAGAACCATTTGAACTAGAGTCATGATACTTGGGTATGTTATGTAGACCAGCAGTGCAAATATTTTTCTCAGTTACAGTTATGAGGTCAAATGTCAAATTTAAATGCTAGTCGGGGGTTCAAATGTCATCTTTGGTTAAAATCTTTAACAATCTTCTTCTCAAGTTCCATTAGGCCCAGGGTCATGATATTTGGCCAGTAGGTACCTGGGATGGAGTGCTATTAAATTTTCTCATTAAAATGACCTTGACCTACTTTCAAGGTTACAGCGGTCAAATATGTGAAAATTTTCAAACAACAATATCTTCAGAACCGTTTAAGAGATGTTAAAATGTCTTTTGTTCTAGTTACCAAATTTGGTCTTAAGTTACCAATACGTCAGTTGCATGTAACAAAAGAAACAGGTGAGCAATACAGGCCCTCTGGGCCTCTTGTTTAAGGTTATATTATTGTGGATAACAATACAAGATCGAATTCAAAATAATATTTGTCTGATAACTTCTCAGTTGGTACACATTTGTTCAATATTTATGGCGTTCTTATGTCAAGGCTAAAGGTCACACTCAGGCCTGGAACATGATTTGTTTATGGACGTTGTATATAAATTGTGGTAGTGATAAATTATCCTATTTGGTTGAAAACCTAAAGCAAAACTTGGCTTTGCCAAAATCAGTGTGTAAATATATTACGTACAATGTGTTGTATTTATCTGAAACTGATTCTTATGATATTTTTCTCTGTGTTGATATAATAACGACAATTACTATAGATTTGAAATGTTGGTGCTGAAACAAAACCAAATTATTACAAATTGAAAAGAGAACAAGATATTCCCTCTGACATTTACAGATAGGTTATACCCAAACCTTATGGGCTGAATGTAGCTACTAGACCAGCTCAAAGGCAACTGCTAGCTTCTTACAATAAATACAATTAGTATTCTGTTACAATGCATAACAATATTCATGACTGGATTCTGTGACTGCCATTGTACACCAAGCACATACCAGTGTTGTCTTCATTATTTTGTACGGATAGATATGAAATACTGATAGATGGTAATTTTTCAGGTTGGATAAAACATCTCTTGGGCAGTGTCGAACATGTAAGCCTGCAACGTCAGTGGTGAAGCTTTACCTAACTCAATTATCACCCTGAAAACCTAGCAACTGAAAGAGTTTCAATGATCAAATTAGAAAACAAACACTGTGTAAAATTGATTTAGTTTAACTCTTAGGCAGTTGTCATGTGGAATAATATCATTACATCCTATTTTTTCCTATGAAACACATTAAAATCAAATCATGAAGAAAAGGGGCTTTTTATAATTTACAATGACAGCCTTCGATACTAGCTTCTGAAAATTATCCTCCAACGCATGCAGTTATTCAAACATTTATCATTTGATGATCTTCCTTTGGAGCACTTTGAGTTATTTCCCTTGATCTACAGTATTTTAGGCTACCTCCCTTGACATACAGTATTTTGGGTCACCTTCCCTTGACATTCAGTATTTTGGGCTACCTCCCTTGACATTCAGTATTTTGGGTCAGCCTCCCTTGACATTCAGTATTTTGGGCTACCTCCCTTGACATTCAGTCTTTTGGGTTACTTCCCTTGATATTCAGTATTTTGGGTTACCTCCCTTGACATTCAGTATTTTGGGTTACCTCCCTTGACATTCATTATTTTGGGCTACCTCCCTTGACATTCTATATTTTGGGCTACCTCCCTTAACATTCAGTATTTTGGGTTACTTCCTTTGACATTCAGTATTTTGGGCTACCTCCCTTGACATTCAGTATTTTGGGTTACTTCCCTTGACATTCAGTATTTTGGGTTACCTCCCTTGACATTCAGTATTTTGGGTTACTTCCCTTGACATTCAGTATTTTGAGTTACCTGTATTGCCTTTCTGTAATTTTGGTTATCTCCCTTGATATTCATTGACTTGTGTTTTAGTGGGTTGAAGGTAGCAGTCGCAGCATCTCTATACATTATAATCTTTAAATACCAATTAATCTCACTCGGTCAACTGGTAATTTACTTTAACAAATCCCAAAAGCCTGACAAAACAGGATCAATTAAAATACTTCATTTCATTTTAAATATTAGCACCAAATTTATGTGACATCATAATATCTGAATACCTGATGATATCAAAGTGATTGTGATATCGCAGAATTTGTAATATGTTACGCTGTTGGAACAACAAAAGTGATGTACTTTCTTGGCAGTATAGATTCCTTATTACATACATATTATACACTTTCTGTCGTACAGTGCAACAACAAATATTTCCTGTAAGTGAAATATAATAATGATTCGAGATTCTTATATACCGCCTTATCACAACCTAGTTTGTAGGTCATCTCAAAGCGGTTTACAAATTAGTATCAGTGGTTATAAGGCCTTTGCAACCAGCCAATGTCTTTCTCAACTCCCTGGGGAGCATACTGCCGGAGCTTCCAATTTCGGTGCTAACAGATAGCATTCAACAATTCTAGCGCTGCCCAACCACGTACTCAATTACAGCTGAGTAGACTGGAACAAGCAGAGTAAAGTATCTTGATCAAAGATACAACACATTGCCGTGCCGTGACTCGAACCCGCAACCCTTCAGTCACGAGCCCGGCGTCCTACCACTAGACTACTGTGCCTCCTAATATGATGCCAGATGTCACATAAAGGATACACTACATTGTATTGGGTTTTGGGGGAGATTTCCTTGTCAGAGGTACCACAATGAGTAGAGGTTAAGTAATCTGAAATAGTTGTCGACATTTGTGCATGAATGATTTATTATAAAAATCTTAAGTTGATTAGGAGGGCTATAAACCAAAGATTTGTTGTTTTGATTGTCAAATATTTAAGATTTTTGTGAGATAATGATTTATATGGATTGTTCGTTTTTTGCAATATTAATCCATGAGTCATGAAACAGTCCCCCTGAATTGGGTTTTGCTAGCTGTTGTGGGAACTATTTAATGATATTCTGATAATGTCAAAACTGACATGTAGCAATTTCAATACTCTGGCCTTTTTATGAGCTAATGAATCCATCTGTTTCAACCCTACCTTCGGTTTGATCTTTTGGACTGTTTTGGTTTTAATTAATGTATAAAAATCACGTTAATGCTAGATTGGTGTAATCAGAAACGTATCTTTCTATACTATATATAAAGATTATTTCATTATTTAAAGAAATAATCTTGATTAAAACATTTCCATTTCGCTTACTGCATACTTTTCATAACCATGCCTTTATAACATAGCATATTGTCAAATTGAGTGTTAACATACGTTATTGGCATAAAGAACAATGGAATCGGATAAAGTTTTCAAAAAACACATCCCGTCCCTTTCCTGAAATCCTCTTTATATTGCCACAATTAGAAATAATGGCAGTATAACAAGGTTCTAATAATATTATTTTTTCGTAAGAAATCCAGGTGTCGAAGTAGCTATATATGAATTTTTCCACAATCAGTAACATATCTGTCTAACCATTTTCAAATTGCACACCTGATGTAATTGTTTTTTACTGATGTAAACTCACTTTTCTATTGGTAAATTTGTTCATACTGTATACCAGCTAACTTTTACCCAATAAAATAAAGAAAGTCATTTATCTCAAAAATCCATATGAGGCTCATGTTTTTATAACCTTTAACAATAGAAGTACAATTTATAGTCATCTGTGTACCAATATTATCTTTCTGAGTGGAGCTGGAAAACAGGAAAAATTGTACAATTACCAATGTTTTAATGTACCGAAAAAAACAGGATTGTCTTGTGATATACATCTGAAATTTTATTTTAACCATGGCAATTATGATTTTGTATTTTTACAGGTAAACTTGTTACTTTTGCACCATGCTAACCCTACTGTTGTAAACAAGGAATGGAAGACTCCGTTAGACCTGGCCTGTGAGTTCGGACGATATCGGGTTGTAGATCTACTTCTCAGGAGCAATCTGTGCGCCGGCCTTCTCGCGGAGTCGCCAAGCGATATGATCGACAACAATCGTACCACCTGTTTACATCTGGCCGCGAAAAACGGCCATATAGAAATCATCAGGTAAGTTCACGGATAACAATGCTGTAGTGATATAATTAGTTATATATGGAATACAACTACATAGAAATCAGGTGAATTTATATACAAAATAGTCATATTGATCAAATAAGTTTGGTTAATACTTCAATAGTTTATATACTTAGTAAGAGGGACACATTAGAATAATCATGTCTGTTGAGACGGGAAAATCATTGCCCCATTTAAGCACTGTAAATCTTTCTTTTATCGTTAGTTTAATATTTCGCATAATCACACAAGAATGATATTTTTTACTAGACTGTATTTTGATATGACTGTAAGGGTTATCCCCCTTGTATCATGTAAAGTCTGATCAGTTTAGTACATAATGATGAAGTATTTTTGTGGGGACTCGCACACGTTGCAGAATTTTTCTTTTAATTAATTTATTTGATTTTTTTTCTACTGGCTGATTTAAATTACATTGATACTTTTTATGAGAGATTTATGTGAAGTACATTGTCTTTGCTGCAATGAACACCTGTGATTACATGCCTAGCTAGGTACATGAGAATGAGTACAGGTGAAAAGGGGTATTGTTATGTAGTAATTTATGTTAGTGTTGAGTAGTGTTTTACCTGTCCTAATCTGAGTACAGGTAAAAATGTACAGGGTCAATCAATTAAGTTGTAGCACCTGTTTATAAGATCGTTATCAATCAGTTGGCAGGTGTGTTGAGGTTGTATACTGGCACGCGTATTCATTAAGCTGTATATTAGTACTGTTATGTAAAGAGCTTAGATGGAATTTGTGAACCTATTTGTGCTGTAGAAATTCAGGCACTTGATTTATATCATATTTAAACAGCTAATTGTTTGTTTGTACCATAGATTGATTGAATTGATCAAATGACTAAATAACTGATTGTTTGATAAATTGTTTGCTTACATAATCGTTGTTCCACCAGTGTTAGTTTAAATGATAAATTTATTTTCAATTCAGCTGTACTTCTGTCCAACCGACTCTACGATTGTTTAAGCTTCACTCAAGTGTAAAATCAACATTTATATAATGAAAAGTAACATTCATTATACAATTATATAAGTTTGGTTGGTCTGGAAACAAAAATTTAGTTGTATGTTAATAATAAAGAATATAATATATCATTGATAATTGCTTATTAATATACATATTTTGTCATCATTTAGTGCTCATCGGACTATTCTCTGACATACAAACAGATCTTCATTATAATAAGTAATAAGTTTGTCCTGCTACCATATTTTCCACAAAACAAATCACACTTTTGCGCTACCACATGCACTGTACATGTATTTATCGAAAGAAGTTCTTATACTTTTCCTCTGGTCACATATTTACATCCATTTTTTCCCCTCTGACATGCTATTGTATGAACCTCAAAAAGTATATATAACAAAATTAAAAAACATTGTAAACAAGAAGTTGGGACAACATTTATTATCAAAGAGTATGACAGACTTTACTTTGATGTCATTGGTGACCTTGACTTATACTTGACCAATGGTTTGTAGGTTACTACTGCAAGCAGGGGTCAATATCAACCGGTCCACGCTGCGGGGGACGTGTCTACACGAGGCGGCGCTGTGTGGCAAAACGGAGGTCGTCAGATTACTGCTTGATGTAAGTCTGTCAAACTACAAATATTAATATCATGCAGTAACACTAATGTGTTATCCATTCGTTATTACAGAGAAGACATTTTCATAAAGCTACCTCTGACTGCAGACTGTAGTATATTCGAAGATTTCTAGAGTTCCATAGAAAAGCATGATGAATTTCACTAATTGTATACGTAACATTTTCAATTCAAGTGCCATCTTAATAACATTGCTACAAGTAAAAGATACTATATGGACAAATTCAAAAACTTTCAAGACATCATGGGAAAATGTCCTTTGAACTAAACTGAATGGTTTCCATTGGTTTAGCTTTATAAATGGTGAAAAAAGTTAGCTATTTGTTGTGGATACTGAACAATTTTACTCCCCCTAAAGCTTTAGTTGTGTACAAAGCATTATGATAACATTAGAATCCCAACGGTAAATAGTGAATTGAGCCAACATAGTCTAGATAAAACTTGAAACAGACAAAAAGGTTGTCCAAACGGAGTATTGAAAATGGCACCAATTTAAGTTGTTGGAAGACGCATAAGTTTAAGAAATCAGCCATTATTATCAGATGAGAGGTCTTTGTCATTGTAATTTTGTATGGTTTTGTCAGGGATCACAGTGTACAAAGTTATACATGAATTGTCCTTACTGGTAAGTATAGAGGACATACTGTCCAGGGATTTGTCCTTGGATAACCTTCAGCTAGGTCTCTGTGACAGTGCTGGGAATAGTGTTAATCCCAGATACGTTTTACACTGGTAGTGTGTTGGGTTATATGTGGTATAGGCCTAATGCCATGTTGGTTTTCAAGTAGTGTGATGGAAGGATGATACGACTTGGGGGGAGGGGGTGGGGGATGCAGAGCATTATCTACATAGAGTAGCACAGTCTATGGTATCTAGCACAGGTTATCACTGAACATCACTGCTGTGTATCATCCCCTCCCCTCCTCCTCCTCCTCCTCCTCCCCCTCCCCCTCCCGTTCCCCTAATTCTGTATCTTAGTCTCTTGGCCAAGGCAGCCTCGGCTGAAATTAAATGTAAAATTGTTTATTATTACAATTGAATTTTCTGTCTTTAATCTAATTTAATAATAAAACTGTCTAAACTGTTTAGTATCAAATTTCTAATCTTAATGTTTATAAAATTGGTTGGAATTTTGAAAAATGTACCGGATCCTCTTCATGTCTCTCTGTAAAATCAGTGGCTGTCTCCTGCCAAACGAACAGTTTTTCTGTGTACTCGTGTAAGTAGTAATCTATCTACTGTAAAAGTGGATTTTTTTGCGTTTTTTCAGGTTGAGTTAAAGCAAAAAATATCAATATGGAAATATTTATGGATATCATAGATTCATATAATACAATATATATGGATCTTAGAACTACTTTTTTGTATTGCCAACACATAAAATTTCCACACAATTACCGGTAGTTCAAATGGTTACAATACAAACATTTCCACACCATAAGTGTCCTAAGGTCACCTCAAGTCATATACACGTTTTCATCTTTCAAGTTTTACAGGAAGAAACCTTCATTTATTTTAATAATCTCTCAAACCATACAAACTGTTTCCTCTGAAGTCACACTGGTTGTATTTTCTGGAAGAAAAGTCTTACATGAATCAATATTTCAAGTGATACAAGTTTTTCACCTCTTGAATCATATGAGTAGTATTCTCATGAGTCGTACTGGTTTTAATTTCTCGCATCATGCCAGTAATACTGTCTTGAGTCGCACTGCTAGTATTATCTGATAGAAATGTAATTCAAGAATAAATGTCTCTTTGAGTTTCAGGTTGTAACATTCGTATAGATGCAATAATCATCTGTGTGGTGATACAACAAGTGGTGATATGTGCTGATTACATTGGTTACCTAGGGACATACAGGTACCCATTCACCCCTAAAGTCATATTGGAACCTTACCAAATCAAAGACTGGGCAAGTCCAGTTTAAATATGTAGGGGTGAATGAGTTAATTATATAATCGTTACTAGAGCAACAGGTGGCAATATTTAAGAAACATGTAGATAACTAGATCTGTTCATTGTGAATTGTAATATGTTTTTAATGGGAAAGGCAGTTTATTTCTTCAAGTAGTAGATGAGGTCTAATCTGATATATGGTGGGATGGTGTTTCTCAGTGAAACCAGATATGTTTTCTATTTAACTATTAAATTCTGATAACAACAGAAAAACAGAATTTCTGAACTCTTCCTTTCCTCACCCCTGACCTATAAGAAATGGTCCATGAAGCCCTGATTGACATCCAGCTCAGATAATGGAATATGTTTTTCATTGCCTAACCGACCCACTTAATGAGGGACCCTACATGTGTGACCCACACACCCGCCCTCCTGTTCTCACTAAACTGAGCCCCCTTTCCCAGCTTCCTCTGTAATCCACACATCATCCCTGTATGTTGCCCTCAAACCTACCCTTCTACTGTGATATGTTGCTCTCACAATGTCTTCCACATATATTGTCCTACATTGTCTCACAATTGCTCTCAATTTTTGTGTTGCCCTTACACCTGCTTTCATTGGCACCCATCCTCATCTTCTTATGTATAATCATCAAATTTGCTGTCCTCATATATTGCCCTCACACCTGCTCTTCTCATCTGTTGTTCTCTGACACCAGAACTTATTATTCCCCGCACCCATACATTGCAACTACCCTCAAATGTTGCCCTCACAACTTCCCAAAAATGTTTCCCTCACAACTGCCCTCAAATGTTGCCCTCACAACTTCCCAAATGTTTCCCTCATAACTACCCTCATATGTTGCCCTCATACCTGCCCTCCTTCCACACATACAGGGACATTTCAGGATCAGGAAGAAGATTACGAGGGGGTTATCTTTGGAAGGTCTTTTCAAGGACATGAAAAGTGTCATAAAAAAGAATTGACAACAGTGGGTTGTTCTAGAGTCTGGGTGAGGATTTTTAACAAGAGATTTGTCTGTAGACTTTAAAATAAAGATTAGTTTTGAAGGTTATTTTAGGGTCTGTTTATGATTGTTTAGAGGGAATGTCAGTTTTCTGTTTGGGGTTGGGAGGGTTATTTTAGGGTCTGTTTTTGATTGTTTGGAGGGAATGACAGTTTACTGTTTGGTGTTGGGAGGTTATTTTAGGGTCTGTTTATGATTGTTTGGAGGGAATGTCAGTTTACTGTTTGGTGTTGGGAGGTTATTTTAGGGTCTGTTTATGATTGTTTGGAGGGAATGTCAGTTTACTGTTTGGGGTTGGGAGGGTTATTTTAGGGTCTGTTTATGATTGTTTGGAAGGAATGTCAGTTTACTGTTTGGGGTCGGGAGGGGGACTGTGTTTTTTATCTCTGCTATCAGCTGTCTGTATCAGAAGTTCTCTGTTGTCAGTCAGAGTACAACCCTCAATGATAACTGAAGAGCTGAAGTTTGGGGGAAAAATAGGATTAAATTTGGTAAACTGTGTATGAATCACATTTAGTTAGAGGTATTTTGGTCAGTGGTAGAGCTGGCATAGACCTCACAGCTGACATACTTTGAGGTATCAGACTATGTATATATGATCATGGTATACATTATATTCAAAATGAAACTTGTGATGTTGATTGTAAGTCATCATTAATAGAGGAAACCTTGGACCCCCTCTGCTGCCGAGTCTGATCATCAGCATCAGCAGCAGCGATTTACAGTCGGTCTTTTCTTGCCTTGAGTTGTTAACTTTTTATGCAATTTAAATTTTTCAAAATGCTTGGCTCTTCAACTCAACAGCGTAACAGGAGTACTTGTGATGGTATCTGCCTCAAGTTTTTATCTTGAATGGAATAACTCATGCTGTTGCCCGCTTTAACATCTTCACCTGATAAAAATTGGAAACATTTTCTTACGAGTAGACACAGTGTTTTTGCATTTTAACGTATGCCCCATATTGTTGGAGCAGTATTAATACACAGTATATGTACTTCTCTGCCCCTCCCCTTTTCCATAGTACTAGCAGTGTAAGAAAAATATCTCAACTTCTCCTCTCAATCATAATGGGGGTATACCTGTCCGTCCCCTTTAATTTGTTTAGGGGCTATATAAGTCTGCCCCTTCAGTGTTGGGGTATATATAAGTGTACCCCTGATATAGACGTTGATATCTAGAGCCACCTTCTTTCCTCCCACATTTCTCTCTGTGCATCCCTCCCACACAGATTATGGCAGAACTCCAGAACTGATGTTCACCTTAATTACACTGGTGTGAGCGGAATTGTGATGCACGGGACACACTTACAGTGGTTTTCATTGCAAAAGATAGTTTTAACATTATATGTATTGCTTTTCATGTTTCGCAATTAACAGACATTGGAATCGGATATGTCAACTCCTACTGGAAATACATGTATAGTGTGTCTGTCACCTGGAAATCCGAGTCGTTAATTGCCAGTGGGGTCAGTAGCTAAGTTCACAGATATTTAATCCGACCTACAAGATGTGATTATTTCATGACCTGGAAATTTTGTCAATTCATTGTGAGTTCTGGATATGTGAATAATTAAACAGAAGACTTATCTGTGGCAGGGCAACACAATACTTGGGTTGTGTTACATTTGTTTAGAACATGATGGTATGTGGGAAGCCTGATAGTGTACATTGTCGGTGCTTTATGTGAGAGAGAAAAAATCAAGCCCGCAGTTAATTTAGGATTACAAGTTAGATTGTTATACAAGTGTTTATGTAGACTTCTGACTAAGTTCTTGGCTGGATGTGTATATTTTTCTCAGAGTGTCTTTTCATCTCAGCAGTGTTTTAGTGTTTTGGCAAGGATTAAATGAGAGAAGGATGGAAATGACCATCGGTCTGATAAATTATAATGACTCGGGACAGTAGTTACCTATACAGATCATCAACAGTGACAGCGAACACACCGCAGGGCACACGGCCAAAACACATCACACCCAACCTTTTATGTTTCGCTGTGTACTGTGTAGCTGACCATGGACATAGATATGTAAGATCCTGAGGACATAAGATCGGGTCTGGG